TCATCGATATTCACATTTTACATTTTGTTACATTTATTTTATTTGATACAACGAGAAAGCTCGATTCAATTCTGTCATTAAGATAGCTAATTGAAAGACGTCTGTATTTAACTTTAATATTTATTAAAATATAATTGATAATTTTAGAAATTTTAAATTTTAAAAAATAATACATAATTTATTTAGAATCATCATACTCATACAGTGACTCTCTTTCCTACGTGTCGAAACATGATAAATACAGAGATAAGATAGAAAATGAAAATTACATACAAAGAAAAGTATCTATTTGTTTTAATTTCATAACCTATGCCCGCATGCGTCGTACTGAACGTAAGAATGCTTCAAACGAAATTATAATATTTAACATACAATTATAGAAAATTACACGTTGAAATACATGGCTGTCACATTATATGAATTACAGTATGTGAAAGATCATTTCTTCAAATAGCATGTTGAAGGACAGAAGTTCACGTTAATTTTCAATCGCAGTTAAACACATTTCATTTCTGTTTTTTCTCTTAATAAAATACACAATTTGTTAAATGTGTTATTTTGTAAATTTGTGTAAAATTGATAAAAATGTCCACAATTAAAATAATTTGTTTCATCTTCGTTCTTTTCTCTCTTTTTTTTTCGACGACAAAAAACAAATCAACAATTTTCACATTTTGGGGCAGGTTAAGAGTCAAGTCTCAAGTTCGATGTTCATGTCCGATGAAAATTATAACATATATTTTTTTGTAGGAAGGGGGGGATACCGACAAAGGTATCTATTAATTCTGAAGTTCTCATAGATTCGCATCAGTGCGAAATATGAATCCCGAACTTTCTGCGGTTTTGACTTTTTTTGTAAAACGACAGGAAGCTTTCACGCGTTCTTAACACGTGAAAAAATCTTAAAGACACCGACCGTCACGCTTTTCCTCGACTTTCGTCAAAGAGGACCCACGAGGAGAAGTGTGCCGGATACCGATGCGCCTAAGGGTCGGCCCGTCCCTTTCATCCTTGCTGAAGGATAACGCCCACACGAAGTGGCGTCGTTCGGACGCCTTTCATCTTCCGTCCGTCGTGCTCGTCCAGTACATACCTGGCTCCCGTTGTATATATACACGTATACATATATGTATACATATTCCAAAAGTTCAAATAGAGTTCTCTTCAAATAGAGTTCTCTTTGACGCTGACAATTTTATGTTAACAGATCGTTTAGGTCGGTCCCTTTCTCCGTGTTCTTTTTTCGAGACACTGACCGTACATCTTTATACTCTTTACTACCACAAAGTTTTATATAGTGATGCTAGAAAGACTAGTTATGAGGTGAAAATTTTCTAAATATGTATTAGGTGAAATGTTCCTAATGATTTTAATATAATCATCATTCAAAAGAATCGGAAAGTGAAATCGATAATGGATCCGTTCGGAACTCCAGAGGGTTACTTTTAATTTTCGTAAAACGAAAATTGACATTATATCTATTACAAATATGTCAGATACTTCAGAGTTTCTCAGGGAGATATCAAAATTAGATTAGCCGAAAAATATTTATTAGATTCGGAAAAATAAACGGAGACCGACTGGATTTGAATCCCTCGCTTACTAGCAAGACACTTAGTGTGCACGACCGTGACAGTTCCTCTCTGTTAGCTCTTTATATTCCGAATCTCTTTCATGACCGCTCACGGTCGTCTAATTCTTACAATATTGAAATTTTAAACAGGAAGTGCTAACTTTGCAATAGAAGAAGTCGCGGGGATGAGACACAGGAGGGACGCGGGAGGGAAGAGTGGAGATTGTCGACAGTTTCGAAAGCTCGACTCCGGAATCCGACCTTTGGATTTCCCTTTCGAATAGACATCGCCGTGGAATTCCTCAGTCGATTAGAGCGCCGACCGGATCGAGTTTCTTGCGGACACTTTCGAGCCATACCTACCGCAAGAATCTCTTCGTTTATCCGACATGGCGTATCGCGGTGAGCTACGTGCACGCGCACACGGAGTAATCTGGAATTCACGGCGCGATTCGAGGAAAAAAGGAGAAACATTCACGAGTCCGCGAGTTGCGTTCCGCAAGTTGTGTTAATTTTCAACAGGCGCTAATTTTCAATAAGTTCTTTCAATAAGTTTGTTAACATTTTTAAACAAGTTTAACATTTTTTTATATTTTTGACGTAAAAGTAAAAGAAAAGAAGCAGAAGAATCTTATTCGTGCCCCATTTTGTTGGTTCTTGTAATTGTATAATTAAAATGTAAAATCGATGCTCGTGAAATGTCGACGGTACGTAATCGACGAGTAATGAGGTACGAGATCGCAACGGCAGCGGAGATGAGGGGGAGACACAAAGAGCCCGACGAAGAGAAGAGAATGAGAGTGTTCGCGAGCGGATGATCAACGCTCAACTCTCGAGAAGGGCACTCTCGCGGGAGGAACGAGTCGCGAGAGAAGTGAGGCGACCGCCGCCGCCGCGCTTAACGAATTTATGTTACTCGTACTTTTAATGTTTTTTATGGCGCGACACGAGCTACGCCGAGAGATAGCAGACAGCATAACAGGATCTTATGTCAACGACGGTGGTCTCCGCGCCGCGAGCTTGTAATATGTAGATACTGCCCACCACCGGGAGAGACCCCATAAGGTCCGCGGTGAGAGAGACCACTTACGGGAAAAGGGGGGAACCATCTTTGTCCCCCTTCGACTCTCCCCTCCTCTCCCCTTCCCTCCCCTCTTCATCCACCCTCCCGTTCCCTTGCGCGCGCTGTCGCGTGTGTGGACGCTATATAGACGTCTCGAGAGCGACTCGTGGCGTCTCGACTTCCTTTTACTTCTTCTTCTTCTTCTTCTTCTTCGTCCTTTCGGTTTCTTTCTCGAAACGGTCGGTGAAAATACCGGTGTGTGCTCTCTCTCGATAGTATATATACGGGGTGTCCTGATTGTAATTTTGATTGCAGATTCTTGAATAATTTCGAAGTCAGCTTTCAAAGTGGTCATCGTATGCACGTGTTTATACGTGTTTATATTTGGTAACTGATCCTCGAATTCTGAATTTCTAAATGTCCGCTTCGATGCTCGTGCCAGAAAAACAATATAACGATAATTACGTGTTGATTTTTTATATCTGTCTTCATCTCTTGCATCATTATTACGCAGAAAAGTTTCTTGAGGCTTTATAAGCAAAATTAATACACACTATTTTTCTAATAAATATTAATATTATATAAGTATTATATATGTCCACGTGACCACGCTCATGCACAAATGATAAAAGATTAAAGTGATTAAAGATAAATGCTGGTAACTAAAATGCCAATGTACTTGGAGAAATATGGCACGATACATAGCGGTACTTTAAGTACCGAGGTTGCCTTCGCTGGCTATACATCTTCCCGAGGAAAACGCGGGGGCAAAAGTCACGCGAAACTCAGAGTGGGCCCGCGTAGCACGGTGGGCCCACTGAGACGCGCGGCAGCGTCGGCGGCAACACCATGTGGCGGACGCGGACTGTCCGCGCGTCTAGAATTACCCGGGGCCTCATCCCCCTCCCCTCCGTCTGCGACGAGCCACGGGCCCGCGCCACGAGAGCTAATTGGCTGGAAAACCTTGCTATCCGATACTCGACGCGGCTACCGCCCCGAGATACGTGCCTGCGCGCAATCCATATTTTCGTCCGTCAGCTGCGAGTGAACGAGCGAGCGGGCGAATGAGCGCGCGCGTTGCTCTCTTAAAACATAACTGTACCACGGTGCGGTGTGTAAAAGGCGGCATTATAGATCCTTTTGCTCTCTTCCGATAATACGTAGCGGCCGCTCGCGTAAATAATTTTATAGTTATCGTGTGTTTTATCTAGCATTATCTACGCATTCTCTCTCGATGCTTTATGCAACTAAGTGACACTTTGTTGGAAAAATGTGCGCAACCAGATCTTTCTTAAGTTACTTTAAGTAATCTCTAATTAAAAAATTAGACAAGATTACACAATACGCGGACAGTGTTTATACTTGTTGGTATTGGGATATAGTTATTGCTGCCGACTACCTATAACTTACTTGTTTGTCACAAATTGAACCGTGTTTGTTTATTTAGGCGTCGAACGAGAGGGAGACAGTGAGAGACTCCTTTCGTCCACTTCTCCTCTCTTCTCGTCTCTTTCTTGAATTAGGCATCTCTCTCTCTTCCTTCCAACTCGAAAGATAGGTATTGTTGCGGGTGGTCCATGGTACATATTGTCAGAGCGGCCACCAGGTAGTGTGCAACGTTGCCGCTTGCAATGTTGCGGTTCCCTCCCTCCCTTCTCTCCTCTCTGTAAGGCCCCGACTTCTCCTTGTACGATTACCCCTCTCTTCTCTTTTCCTCTCTGCATTTTCTTTCTTTCTTTTCCTCTGTCCCTCTTCTCTCGGTTTCGTTTAAGCAACCGTATAACCTCGCTCTAAAAGCCTAAATCGCCATCCTCGCTCTCTTTCCCCCCTGTCTACGTCCCTCTTTCATGAACATTCTCTATCTCATTCTGGCTTTTTTTCCTTTCCACCATTTCCGCCACTTGCCATTTTACAAATCCACGCGACAGATTTAAAGGCCCCAGTATCTTACTCTCCCTCTCCTCCCCCCTCCCCTCCCGTCCTCATCCTTGCAGATGAGTGCATTCACCAATTTTTCCCGGAAAACCGCCTGCACTCGTTCTTATTCCGCGTAACGCCGACCGGATTATTCTGAAATACAGGTCGTCTCAAAATTGACGACAATTCATGGAACATTTCGAAGGAGATTTATATGACGTTCTTTCAAAGAAACGATTCGGAAATTTTTCTGTAATACATATTTAAGAAACATCTTTCCGTTCATATAATCAGTGTGTGCGATTTTACTTTACGAAAGTGTGAACCGAATTATTAAGCTGCGCACTCTCTTTGTGAACGCGAGACAGCTGACATTCTCAAATGTATGTACATCGCGAAATTTTTTTAGCCGTATGATATCGAGAAACCTCAATCTTTTCCTTTTAGGGAAAGGCGGAGGGTCAGAGGTCGGCAGTGTGGATCAGAGCGCTACTGCAGGATCAGTTGAGCCAGTTGGGTTACTTCCTACAGAGGCATGCCGGAAAGGTACTCTTCGTGGCCGTCCTCGCGCTGGCGATCCTCTGTGTCGCCCTCAAGTCCGCGCAAGTCAACAGCAAGGTCGAGCAGCTGTGGGTGCAGGGTAAGTGACTGCCATGCGCATTTTTCTTTTTATCGCTCTTCTTTGGCGGGCGCGATATTTCATTAGTCTTCTCTCGCCTTGAGCGACGATAACGACATAATGTAGTAAGAGCCCCGTATTTTTTACGTTTCGCAAAACTGTCGCAAAAATAGCAGTCGAAAATAAAACCTGATCAAGAGTAGACAACGAAATGAAAAAACGCATTTTTCATCTTTCGCATATATATGTTTTTAATTGTTAATTGTATTTTGGGATGGAAATCGCGCAACCTTGACCTTTATAAATTAATAATAAAAATTAATAAAGAAATCCGCTGATTATAAACAATTATGATACGTAATTGAATCGGTCGTGAAATTGCTCTTTGTAAGACCTTGGCAATGGCCAAGACAAAGCTCTCTCAGAGTGAGAAAATCGTCGTTTAATTATTTCCGAACGGAGTCGATCTCTCTCGTACGGCAGCAGTGCGACAATGTAAATTTTCATGGCGGCGCATGGAAAACGGGTGAACGTGCAAGAAATACGGAGAATAAATCGTTCGCGGGGGAAGAAAAAAAGGAGGATGCGCTGCGCGGCAAAAAGAGGGCAAAAAGAGGGAAATGACTCGAGCGGAATTTCCCCCCACCGCAGGTTACATTAGTTGCACAGACGTTGGGTGGCCCCTCTATATTTACCCGTGGCTCGAACGTTAATTCGAACACCCGCCGCCAACTTATATGTGCCGGCGCGAAAGAGAGCGAGGAAAGTCGAACATTTTTTTTCGGTGGAGACCAACGTTTCTTATTCCGTTTGCATAATAGCGAAGTTGTCAGCTGCATCAACGTAGTTCGATCGTTTTGTCGATCGTAGTATACAAGTTCACCAAACCGAATGTAATTTCTTGATCTCTATTTTCTTTTCTTCGTAATATTCCCCCTTAGAGAAGACAATTTTTGAAAATAGTTCCTTTTTTTAAATAATTTTTTTTTTTTCTATTATTTAAAGTGAGCAACGAGTAAAATGATATTGTATTAGGAGACAGGCATGAAAATTTGTTTCTATTATCTCGGATATATCATTTTAGAAATGTATTGTGTGTGGAGTGGATATATATATATTTTTTATTAATATTAAAATGTGCCTCTTGCATTTTTGAGATGAATATCTTCCGTAATGAATTTAGCATCGCGTAGAATGACGGAAGACGCATCGACGGGGCGAACGGACATTCCGTTCGTTAGAGCTAGAGAGAAGTGCTTCGTCGAACGTCACGGGTAACTGTATAGAGATTCTTTCGATGCGCTCGACTTAGCACGAAGAAACGGCAAGTCGTGTCCTGGTTTTCAATCCGATGGAAGATACTCCTCCGTCGGACCTCCTAGATCGCGTTGCCGGGGACTAATCCCTCCAGCTGAACCTTCCGTGACATTTGACCCCGTGAAACTTCACACCGAGGACAAGTGTTTCTCTCGTCGGTGTTTGTCCCCCTGATAATAATGGTACGACGAAACGGCGTGATCGACCGAGAATACGAACGAACTTCCATGAAAATCGAACATTAGATAGAAATTCTCGCGATAACGTTCGATAATTTTGATTGCGCGTTTATTGACACATAAACACATACGCTTTATCTCGTTAAATGATCCTTCGTCAAAGTGTAAAAGCTTAATGCAAACGAAAGAAAAATTAATCAAAATCAAGATTATATATTCTCATATTCAATTGAGCAAAAGTAAATAATAAAAATTTGTATCAATAC